CCCCAAAACCCCAAAACCCCAAAACCCCTCTTTTGTTGTAATTTATTGAATAAATAGAAAGGGAGGCTTCTTTGTTGACACATATGAAGGATCTTTTACTCATTCTTCTCATTGGAAATTGAATCCAGTCTTCTTATCATCTTCTGTGTATACTTTAATGCTATCAGGTACAACCCACACGGAAGCTTTTGATTTTTTGGACTTAAGAAAATGTTCTTTCGTAGTCATCTTAGACCTAATACGAGGTATTAAGGGAGAATTTGATCTTGAAGCAACTGCTTGTTCTAGAGCTTCATAAGGGATATTTTCATTTCTTCCCTGAGCTTGGTCAGTTAAATTCTCAAATGTTTTAAAATTCTCTTGGTCCATATACTTAATTCTATCCATGCGACCTTGTTTTATTACTTGGTGGGAAGCATCAGAATACACTTTTTGATTATCTAAAGCCTGAGCACTTGAATAGATATTCTTTGATCCTCCATTTTGAGTGCTACTGTATTCATCACCTCTCGATCTCTTTTGATCAGCTTGGTGGTGGTCTTCAATTTGTTCATGATACTTCTTCTGTTGCTCTTCTAACTCATGCTCAAACTGGTTGCTTTGCCACTCAAGTTTGTCATTAGAGATATTTTCTATAAATATGTAAACAGTCAATAAGAATCAAGCAGAAAATTACTTCCAGAATCAGCAGATTCGAAAATTTCGTCATAATTTTGTGGCTTCTTGCCTTTAAATGACCTTTCTTTTCTGTTTACACCATTCTTTTCATCCAAAAGCATTTGAAGATATTTGTTCAGGGTTCTTTCAGAAGGAGATTTTGATCTGGCCAATGGGCTTCCCTGACAGGAATCATTATCAGATATGACCTTTGGACAGTCCAAATCGGGCTGTTCGGTGTTAAATCTGCTAGATTTTTTACTTTTCCTGGTTGATTTCTGTCCTTTGAGAGATAATCCATCATGTGAATTTTGTAATCTATTTGAAATATAAATAGCATTATTTTCAGGATCTAAAACTGTTCTTGACGATTCAGCTGTTTTCTGAGATTTTGCTTCTTTAGATACACGCTTCCTCCTTTCCTTCTTAAGAGCATTCATTTTGCCACCATTGAGTGAATTGCCACTCATCATATTCAGATCTTTATTCTTACTGCACTTCTTAATAAATTTGCCAAGATCCTTATCAGTGTTCTTTCCAGTCATTTTATCCTTCTTTCTCATAAACTTCATCCTCTGAGTCTGGATCTGATCTTCCAAATTCTTGATCTGTTCTTTAGTCAGCTTCTTATCACCTTCGAGGTTGGCTACAATCATGTATTCCCTGATATTTGAATTTTCAGTACATTTCAAGTAGCCTGGAGTATACTTTTCAAGATTTTTTAAGGTAAATTTTTGACGAGGAAGTGCCTCCTGAGGTGTATACTTCTTATGTATACTCTTCTGAAGATGCTTGCCTAATTTCCCTGAACACTTCTGATACTTATAAGGATTGTTCATAAACTCCTTAAAGTTTTTCGAGCCAGAGCCTGGCTGCCTGTCGGCAGCCGGGTCAGGTTTTGAAAACTATACAGTTAAAAGTGTATTTACAATTCTTTTCTTGTTCAGAATGGTAGGAGGAGCAATAACTACTACCTCCTCTGTTAAGTTATTTTGGCTCTTCTTTTGGTGTAAATTTTGGCTTGTTCGAAGAAATTTCATCAAAATACAACGATTTTCTGGGAAACCTGAACGTATTATTTACTAAACGTTAGCAATGGGATTTACAGGATTGAGTTGTGAACAAATATTCTCCAAGAGTCCCTCGATGTCTTCTTTTATAAGCTCTGCTTCAAGAAATATGAGTATCAGCATTGGTTGTGTGGTTTGTGCTAACGTTTTCCCTATTCCGAGAATTGCTTCTGCTATAAAATTTTGATATTTTGATAAGTTTATATTTACTTTTTGAAACTGCAATCTAAATTTAAACATCTATCTCTTGTAAAGTTAAATACTGATCTGCTTCTCAACTTTACTAAAATGTTAGCTTTCGACGTCAGTGGTGTATATCCTGAGCTTGTGCTTATAGAGTCATGATGTCCTGCTGCTACCCCATCTTCAGAAAACATAGCAGTGCTTGATAAAAATCCAGGTTACATATTGAAATAAAATTTTAATTTAAGCTTTATCAATATTTGCGATGTTTCGAGGGGTTTTGGGGTTTTGGGGTTTTGGGGTTTTGGGG